AAGTCCAAGATGAAGGTGTTAGCGAATTCTGGTGAGGACTCGTCCTGGCTTACAGAGGGCTGCCTTCTCTCTGTGTATTCATATAGCCTTTCCTTGCTGCATGCATGTGGAGACAGAGAGATCTGTCTCTTCCTTTGCTTATAAAGGCATTAATCCTATCAGATGAGGATACTTTTATGACCTCAATTAACTTTAGTTACAAAGGCTCTAGTTCAAATGCAGTAACACTGAGGATTAGGGTTTCAAAATATGAATTTGGGAGGCATAATTCAGTTCATAACATTCTACTACTGGCCCCCACAAAATTGATGTCCTTCTCACATGCAAAATATACTCATTCCATCCTAGTAAGCCCCAAAGTCTTAAATCATTCCAAGCATCAACTCCAACATCTGAAGTCCAAAGTCTCATCTAAACATCTAAATCAGATATAGGTGAGATTCAATTTATCCTGAGGCAAAATTTGTCTCCAGCTGTGAACTTGTGAAACAAGTTATTTTGTTCTAAAATACAATGGTGGGATGGGTATAGGATAGACATTCCCCTGTCAAAAGGAAAAGAAGGGCTGATAAGTCTCAAGCAAGTCCAAAACCTAGCAAGCCAAGTTCCACTAGATCGTAAAGCTTGAGAATAATGCTCTTTGGTTCCGTGTTCTGGGGAGCAGCCTCACACACACTGCCCTGCAGGGAGCAGCACTCGGGGCTCTGCCGATGGCAGAGGAGAGGCCGTCTCGCTCCCTGGCCCATGCACGCTGCACCTGGGCCAGGACTGGCAGCCCTGAGGGTCTCTGAATCACTTCGGGGCTCATTCTTCCTGCTTCTGTTGAGATGGCTTATAACACCTTGGGTAACCTTTTATTTTGGTGTTCCGTCATGAACAAACTTCCTCATTTTTGCAATGTGAGTATAAGAATTTCCCAAATCTTTTAAGTTCTGGAATTTTTTTTTTTTCATTTTGGCTTAACAATTCCTTCTTTAATTCATCTGTTGTCTCTCAAGAGGAACCAAACAACTTCTCCAGCACTTCACATAGAAATTTCCTCAACTAAACATCCAATTTCATTACTAACAAAGTTTACTTCTACAAAACACTAGAATACAAAGTAGTCAAGTGCTTTGCCAATTCATAATAAGAAGCATCTTTCCACCATTTTCCAAAACCTGTTTCACATTTCTTTCTGAGACCTCACCAGAAAACCTTTAACATCCAAGTTTCAAGCAGCATTCTATTCATGATTATTTGGGTATTCTCTAAGAAGATGAAAATTTTCTCTCTAGTGCTTTTTATTTTTGTTTCTGAGCCCTAACCAGTATCTTCAATATCCTCGTTTCAGCCAACAACAGTCCCTTCATAGCAATCTCAGCTTTTTTAAACAATCACCACAAACTTTCCAGCCTCTATCCCGTACCCAGTTCTAAAGCCACATCCACATTTTCAAGCATTTGCTAGAGTAGCATCCACTTCTCAAAACCAAAATCTATATTAGTAAGGGTTCTCCAGAGAAAGAGAAACAATAGGATATGTGTGTGTATATCATCTCTATATAGAGATATGTGTGTATATATATATATATATACACATACACATATATATGATCTATTATAAATATACACATTTATGTATTTGATTTATTATAAGGTGTTGCCTCATGAAGTAATAGTAGCTTGAAGTCCCAATCTGCAGTCAGCAAGCTGAAGACCCAGGAGAGCTGATGGTGTAGTTCCAGTTTGAGAACTGTTAGGCTGGAGACCCAAGAAGAGTTGTTTCAGTTTGCATCCAAAGGCAGGAAAAGTCCAACATTCCTGCTGAGGGCAGTTAGGTAAGGAGGGGTTTCTTACCCATGGGAAAGTCAGCTCTTCTGTGCTATTTCAGGTCTTCAACTGATTGAACAAGTTCCACCCACATTAGGGAGGGCAATCTGCTTTAATCAGTCAACCAATCTAAATGTTAATCTTATTAAAAAATATCCTCACATGCACACCCAGAATAATGTTTGACAAGTATCTAGGCATCCTGTGGCTCAGTTAAGTTGACACATAAAATTAAAGAAAATAATAATCATAATAAGAAGCTCACTAAATGGGTTCATCAGCAAGGTGGAGGGAACAAAAGAAAGTATCAGTAAAATTAAATATACAACAATAAAAATTAATTAAGTTTATCTGAAAAATAGAGTATTGGCTTGCACCTCTTAGGCCTAAGAAGCCTGTACTCAACCATCCTCTAGACTGGAGAAACAGTCAGTGACAGAGATGTCAATGGTTTAAAGGATGGGGGAGCTTACATGTCTGAAGCAAGGTCCTGGGGCAGCACCCCACCATGTGTGCTGGGTGCCCAGCAGGACATGGCAGCCACCTTTGCTTAGGGGGAAGGGGAGACCACAGGGGGAAATAGTACCAAGTTGGCTCATCAGTTACCAGGGAAACCACCAAAAGGACCCAGTCCCCACCACCCCTTTGATAAGAGGAGTGGAGTTCTGACCTAAAGCTAGAACAGTCATTAGCTGGGGCCTGGGACAAGTATGTTAAGTCCGTCTTGTGAGTTGGGTGTAGGTGTATATCCACTGGTCAGGCAGGGGATATACACAGAACAAGAGAACAGCCATCCTGAGGAGCCTGACCATACACAGATGCAATAGAGAAAAATGCAAAGAGCCTCAGAAAAGTTTCAGGAATATAACAAAAGATTTAATATTCACGTCATTGGAATCAGGAAAGAAGAAAAAGAGGATGGGGCAGAAAAAGTATTCAAAGTAATAACTGCTGAAACTTCCTAAATTCGACCAAAACCTATAGATTCAAGAAGTAGAGCAAATCTCAAATCAGATAAACCCAAAGAAATCCACACTAATACACACGATAGTCAAACTTCTGTAAAGACAAAAAAAAAAAAAAAAAAAGAAGAAGAAGCTGGAAAGCAACAAAGAGAAAAGATATCTCACCTATAAGGAAAATATGATTTGAATTACAGCAGATTTCTCATCAGAAACCATGGAGGCAAGAATAAAGTAGCACATTTTTCAAATGCCACAGAACTGTCAGTACAGAATCTTATATTCATTAAAAATGTTCTTCAGGTATGAAGAGAGAAATCAAGGTATTTTCAGATTAAGAAAAAATTAAGTATTTATTGCCAGAAGTCTATCCTAAAAGAATGGCTAAAGGAAGTTTGCTAAGCAGTTATAAAGGAGCCTGTAGCCCCCCACGCTCCTCTGTCCATGGGGATTCTCCAGGCAAAAATACTGGAGTGGGTTGCCAGGCCTGCCTCCAGGGGATCTTCCCAACCCAGGGATAGAACCCAGGTCTCCCGCACTGCAGGCGGATTCTTAACCATCTGAGCCACCAGGGAAGCCCAGTTTTAATATAACATTTATTTCAAAAATGTTTTCTTTTATTTTTATGATAAAATAATTTTTAGTTATAAGATATTTTGGGACACTGGGAGTACAATAAAAGACCACCACAAGTAAAAATAGAGAAAAAATATCCATTTTCTCTTGAGCTTTCAGAATTAAGTTTGATGGTTCAAATGAACACCACAATACTCTCTGACATGATTCTAGGTGAATACAGACAAAATGTTTCGCTATCTTAGGATAACGGAACTTCGCTTTCATATGAACTGGTAAAATAAGAACAGTAAACTGTAATAAGTCATGTATGTATAAAGTAAAACCTACAGCAATAACTAAAAATATATATAAGAAGATACAAGCAAAACATTATAAATTAAAAAAAATGGAATCATAATAAATGTTCAGCTAACCCACATGGAGTCAGGAAAAGGAAAATAGAGAAACATAAAGCACAGCAGAAAACCAAAAAATCAAATAAAGTGGCAGACAGGCCTTCCAGAAAGTGTAAATTATGAGAATACACCAATTAAAAGATAAAGACTGGCAAAGTGAACTTAAAAATATGACCCAAATATACATCAACTACAAGAAATTCATTTTAACATGATGATTAAGCAAATGGAAATATATATATATGTGTGTATATATATATATATATATATATAATGCAAATGTAATCAAAAGAAAGCAGGAGTGGCCATATAGATTTCAGGTAAAGTAGACTTCAAAAAAAAAGAAAATTACCACAGACAGAGAAGAACATTATGCAATCATAAAGGGTTGAGTCACCCAGAAGAGACTATAAGCCTGAATGTGTGTGCACCGAAGAACAAGTGAGAAATACATGGAACAAAACAGTACTGAACTGAAAGTAGGAACAGTTACTTGCACAATTAGTCAGAGACTTCAACACCTCTTGCTCAACAACTGACGTAGACAGAAAATCAGCAAACAGTACAGAACTCACAACAGCATAGTCAATAGGATCTAATCAGTACTTTAGAGCATTCCACCAAGTAACTGCAAAATACCCATGATTTTCAAGTGTTCAAAGAACAAATACCAAGATGAATCCTCTGGGTCATGAAATAAACCTCCATAAATGTAAGAAAGGTGAAATCATATAGAAGGTGTCCTCTGATTATAATGGAATTAAACTAGAAATCAATAACAAAGATAACAGGAAAATCCCAAACTGTTTAAAAAATAAATAGCCACATACAAATAATCAAACGTTCACATGGAACATCTGAGAAGTGCCTCAACATAGCAACGACTACCATGCATGAGGAGTTCCGAGGTGGGTAATGGAGATTGAGTCATTCAGGGCCCTTGGAGGAGGTGCCCTGCAATCTGAAAAGTGAAAACAAGAAAGAGCAGCCTGCTGCAGGTCTAGGGGTAAGGAGTTCTTTCCCCAGGAGCATGTTCTAGAGGGCAAAAGCCTCCACTCGCATTCTCTGTTACAGGCGGAAAAATCAGTCTGAGAGGCTAAGTGTGTGTGCCCTACTGACTCTCCAGCTTTCCCAAGCAGATGAGACTGAGGCTCATCTTGAGTTTGTTTACATATAGTTTCTAAATGCTTCTGAATGAATGTGGAAATGACACCAAAGTGTATCCATGGTTCTTACTTGTGAAAATAACTTACAGCTGCCAAATTTCAGAGGGCAGGCATGGGCATCCATTGGGAAGTCTTCGAGTTGCATTGGGCACTCTGCAGAGATGGTCAAGCTGAAAAACAAGAGATGGGGACCTTTAAATGACTCATCAACTCTGTCTATTAGACACCATGCTCCAGAAGGAATGTTAAGTACTCCACTCATTTTAATTGAAGTATTTTATCAAGTTGTCTAAACTGTTGCATCAAATCACATAAGATTGCATTGTAGGTAAATATCATTTAGAAATAGGGTTTAAATCAAATCTGCTCAGGAGTTCTGTGGCTTGATGTATCTGTACATACATTACCACTTGTAAAGCAATTTGAGATGCTTTTAAAAATAATTTATTCTTTTATTCTCCCATCACTTACCAAGAGTAATCTAAAAAACTTCCCTTGACAAGACTGAAAACATATTTTTTCTGAAATAATTTATAAGCTCAAAAATATAAGTGTGGAATAAATGCACAGTCCATGTTTTGACCCCTGAATATTCACTGGAAGGACTGATGCTGAAGCTGAAGCTCCAATACTTTGGTCACCTGATGAAAAGAGTCAACTCATTGGAAAAGACCCTGATGCTGGGAAAGATTGAGGGCAAGAGGAGAAGGGGGTGGCAGAGGATGAGATGGTGGATGGCATCATTGACTCAATGGACAGGAGTTTGAGCAAACTTTGGGAAACAGTGACAGACAAGGAAGTGACAGGCAGACAAGCGTGCTCAGTGCATGGGGTTGCAAAGGGTCGGACCCGGTGAGTGACTGAACAACAGCAAGAAGCTTTAACCAGAAGCTGGCTATAATTATCAGGAACTGGGCTTCGGCCATTGAACTTCAGAGTAAGTGAAAAAACAACTTTCTTACTGTTTTTAATCCAAGGCTGGTCTTCCAGATAGCAATACCATCCATTACCATCATCACTAATGACTAAAACAGCACTGGTCATAAAACATACTGGTCTGTGCCAGGCACTGTGTTAAGTGCTTCACCTGTATTAACACATCTAATTAGAATAGCATGATTTATTGCTATTATCATCCCAGTTTCCAGGTAAGAAAGTAAGACACGGATGTTAAGGGATCCCAGCAAGAATACATAGACCCTAACGACAAGTCCTCCCACAGGCTCTGTGACCTGAGTCTGTCTGTATTTGCAGAGTTGTCACTGTGGTGCTTTTATTTCTCTATAGAGCTACTAATTAGGTAGTAAATATAAATTTCTTTAGGAGTAAATCTTCTGTTTCTCAATGTTTAATTCTATTATTTAAAATGAAAAATAATTACATAAAATGAAATCAAATTGCACAATTTTCTCTTTCTTTTTCATTTATTTTTATTAGTTGGAAGCTAATTACTTTACAATATTGTAGTGGTTTTTGACATACATTGACATGAATCAGCCATGTATTTACATGTGTTCCCCATCCTGAACCCCCGTCCCACCTCCCTCCCATGGATGTTACAATTCTATTTTGTTATATTAAGTCTGGATCTTGCCTATGTGCCTGGGATGAAAATCAAAATATACAATCATTTTTGTCTTTACTGCTTCCTTCTTTCAAGGTAGATTAACATTTTTCTCTTTAATTGGGCACATAATTCACACTTGACAATTCCAGATGGAGTGGTCAACACAGGTATTCTCTGAATGGAGCTAAAACATGTGTCAGTGGAAGGAAGGTGTGTGTCCATCACAGAGATGAAATTTTATGGTGGTCTGGGGGGACCACTCTCCCCAAAATGGAGTCAGTTCCAAGGGATGTGAGTGCACATGGATGAGAATATACCATAAAAGTTTCATATTCAGGCAGGGAGATGATATTTAAAATTATATGCCACCAATGTTCATATAAGAATATGGAAAATGCAGAAAAATTATAAGTAAGAAAATTATAAATACATATCATTTCACTTATAATTTCACCTTATACATTTTGTCCAGATTTTTTTCACAGGTATATACATTCTTGTTTCATTTTTCTTGGTTTATAAAATTCAGTCTTTTGGTTACCCAACATTACAGTAGAGGTATTTCCCAAATCATTAAAATCTCTACAGAATCATGACTTTGAAAGGTGCAATATTTAATTGTAGCATGCAGATGTGTAAGTATGTGTAGGATATGGATATATCTGTATATGTATGGACATCTTCAAGCACAAACTATATAAAATGGATTATTATTAGAGACTACAAAATAAGTAAGGTAAAGGAATATTTATTTAGTAGAACTAAGAAAACAGGACTTAAAAACCACAGCCTGTGAGGAGGACATTCAGCCAACATAAAAGAAAATAGTGTTACTTTATTCGTTTGTTAGTAAACTTAAGCCATTTGTTAAAAGCAATAGTGGGACACAAAACTTCAGTGAGTCAAATGTGTTCTAGAGAATAAAATCACAATGACCCAGTAAATTTAGAATTTTCTTGAGAAACAAATTCATAGCAGGGAAATAGAAAGCAGATACAAAGCTACAGTGCCGTGTACAAAGCAATAAATGTGAAAATAAGCACATGAAGAAATGGTGATGTGGGAGCTCAGAGAACGCTGATGACTGGGAAAGTCTGTCTCATAGACAGCCTCCGTTCCAACAGCTGACGGCCCTGGTGTAAGGAAGATGCTGGGCTCAGCCCATGGGAACACTGCGGGGCGGCGGGCGGGGTGCTTCAGGTGGAGCCGACTGTCCTAGCCTTGCTGCTGGGTACGCAGACCCCAACCAGCAGACCCAGTGCTGCAGTCGCAAGTCGCCCACACCCAGGTCAACAACTTCTGGCTGCACTCCCACCACCAGAGTAATGTAGAGAGGGTCCTTCCGTGGCAGAATCTCCTCTCAAGACACCAGCATGTCTGTGAGCTCACACAACTGGGCTTCCGTCCCTTGGAAACCATCCCTTGGCCCACTGGGTCTGGAGGCTGCCTTGAAGCCAGATGTGTTGTCCGGGTTCTTGATAATGTGGTGAGTCGTGGTTAACTCCTCTGCCCCTTGATTGGAGCTGGTTCTCTGCTTCAGTATCCAGGCCCACGGGGGCCCCTGCATTCCTGCTGTTCGCCCTAATCTGTCAGAGAAGACCCCCGCAGGGAGACTTGGGCTCCCACCTTTGTCACTCTGCCCACCCCTGACTTTTCTCCTTTTCTTCACATACTCCTTTTTCTTGGCTAACACCATGTGTTTACAAGAGAGGTGAGGAGCCATTCCTTCTGTAACTGTGGTCTGAGCATCTCATGTCTTGTTTTATTCTGGCTGTCTGGCCCTGAGATCTAGGCCAAGACTACTGCACTGACATTTTACAATGGCAAGAATTGTATACCAAGGAGTCTGCTTTTAGCATACAGCAGGAGAGAGGGTGGGTAGAGACAAGCAGAAAGAACTTAACTGGATCTAAAAAGAAAACTCTTTTGAAGAAAAAAAATAATTCCAGTAAAAATATAAAAAAGATTCTACAATTACCATCTCAATAAATGCTATCATTAGAGCCTCACAGATTGTTTCCTCAATTTAATAGACTTCCTTAGAATTAGAATTCCAAACATCAAAAAAAATACTTCATTTATGGTAGCATCTCTCCTCTAAGGGATGAATGTATTATTCAGATAAATTCCCCAATAGCAAATGTTTCAACCTTCAACCTTAGTAAGAGAATATTTAAAATTTTGATGCTTTTAAACATTTTTTAAAAAGGCTTTCATAGTACTCAAACAATATCTCTAAATAAGAGAGACCCTTCCATTCACGGGATCCTTAAAATGTAGTGTCCCTTAATGTATAATCAACCTTCTTCACACAAAATTGAGATCAAAGCAATCCATGGAATATGGACTGTCCTAGCAAAGGAGCTAGTCAGGGCACCTCCTAGAAACACTTTTCTCAAAAGGTTAATGAATGTGTTTATGGAAAAACTTCAGTGAATTACTGGTAGATCCAAGAATATGGTTTTCTTCCCCAAAGGTTATATTTCTGTTTTACTTCCAATTTCTAAAGACATTCAAGCATTAACTTATTGGAACATAAGGTTCATTTTTAATATCTTAATTTTAGGGCCAGGAAAAGGGCATTTTGTGACTTAAGCTGTTTGCTTCAACTTGGATGTAAACTCCCTAGAGAGCTCTGTTTGCTCAGGGGCAGCCCACAGTGCAGCATGCTTTAAGATGCTAAAACAGCCAAATTCTAGAGTAGCTTTGCCATTAAGGAATTGTGAGACCTTTGTAAACTGCCTAACCTCTCTGGTCCAGCCTTTCCAAATGGAAAAAAAAATAACAGCTGCTTTATTCTCTGGGGGAAAAAAAGAAAAGTTAATAGGTGTGAAGAGAGATTTCTACCCAATATGCTCTTCAGATCCAAGCCTTCTTCATTTACATGAAAATACTGCATGAATGCAATAGAAGATGTCATGGCAGGCAGCATAATGTTCCTGCAAAGATGTCCATATCCTAATCTCCCAAACCTCATGACTTGTAAATATGTTACCTTAAATAGCAGAAGGGCTTTGAGGATGTGATTAAGTAAAGGCCTCTGGGAAATGGGAGATTATCTTGGATTATCCAGATGGGCCCAGCAGAATCACACAGGTGGAGTGTCAGAGGCAGAAGCCATGCAATGGGAGATTGGTTCAAGATGGCAGAGTAGAAGGGTGCATGCTCACCTCCTCCCATGAGAGCACTAAAATCACAACTAATCATTGAACACTCATCGACAGGAGGATGCTGGAACCCACCAAAAAAGATATCCCATGTCCAAAGACAAAGCTGCAACAAGATAGTAGGAGGTGTGCAACCATAATAAAATAAAATTCCATAACCACCAGGTGGGTGACCCACAGATTGGAAAACAATTATCCTGTAGAGGTTCTCCCACTGTTATGAAGGTACTGAGCCCCAGGTCAGACTCAGCCTGGGGATTTGGCAAAAGGATTAGGAATCCCCAGGGAATCTGACTTTAAAGGCCAGCAGGATTTGATTGCAGGATTTCCACAGGGCTGGGGGAAACAGAGATTCCACTCTTGGAGGACACACACAAAATCTTGTGTGCACCAGGACCCAGGGGATAGGAACAGTGACCCCACAGGAGATGGAACC